ATTGCAAAGTGACATCATACATATACACTAGCATCGCCTTCGGTTTAGATTAAAATGATGCCTCTCTCGGTTGGTTGGTTCTTGAAACTCTTAGATCTACTCCGTCAACTAGAACTGCCAGCGCGAGCTGGAGGCTTTCGCCCATACACTACATAACTAGAACATGTTAGCTTTTCTCCATATACCGAGGAGAGTTATCTCACGTGAGAAAGTAGAAATGAATCTTCGGGTTCCTAATATCTTTCCTCAGATCGATCAAAAATGCTTCTACTTCTTCCGACTTCACTGCAACATCTGGAGTCAGTAATTGCCTTTCAAGGACAGTGAAAGAGCAGGCAAAGGCTTGAAAAGAGATGTCTCGGGAGTGGCCGTCCACGTTAGGCCGACGTCTTTGTCTCTTTTACTCCAAACATGGCTAAAAGAGGTAGAAATGAACCCCCAAAATTTACTTACTTCCTAGCCCCTTGGTGAACATAGTCATGCAAACCGCCTGCAACCCATCAAGAAAGTTCGTCATCTGCCAATATCCAAGTGTCTTGGCGTCTTGTCCTTTCGGCCACGGGTTTCCAGGGATAGCCAGCTTTTCTTCAACAACGTCAACGAAGCCTGCCTCCTCTAACCAACGTCTGTACTTTCGTGGGGCGAGCATATCTCGTCCAAGTCGTCTCCCAGCCTCAACATAGTATTCGACAAATTTCTCCAGGCTTGTTCCTCTCATCGTATCGTCGATGCATTGCAACGCACAGTAATAGTCTTGCCATTCCATGTATCCTCCTGGCCGCATGAAATCAAAGGCGGATCTGATGACCTTTTGGTGGTCATTAAAAACATGAAACATTAGGCGTAGATGGATGTAATCAAAGGTTTTAGAGAAGATCCAGTCATCTTCTGCGTCGTCTACCTCAAATCTACAGTTAGGCGGCACATAGTCTGGCTGAATAGGACTGAGATCTGTACCAAGCACTTCAGCTGCTGGAAATTTCGTTGCTTGATGCAAGATATGTGTTAGCTTGATAAACACGATCACACGATGTTTCAGGCAAGGCAAGAAGGGGGGTGCTGACCACACTCAATCGCCCAGATCCCAGTACCTGAGAAATTATCAACATTGGTACAAATTTATATGTCTGTAACCACTAACCAGTGCCAATATCCAAAACACATTGTGGATCATGTATTGGTGCCTTCCCAAGTTTTCCCTCGAACAGCATCATGAAAACTGCATGTTGTAAATCTACTCCCAGAATTAGTACGTGATATGCCTACACATCTCCAATCTCAGCGGATTACCTAGGCGATCTTGCTCTTCCTATATTTCACATCAGCATATTTGCTACAAATTTGTTCTCGGTCGACTCATACGCTATCATTTGGCATCCAATATCCTGTACTGAATTAGTCATGGTTCTGTTTCGCACTCCCAAGGGTTCTTACTGCCTTGGTGATATCTGTGATAGGTTCGTCCATTTTCTTCAATATAGTCGTATATGCTCGATCTGACTGAGGCTGTGGATAGGCTAATCCGCCATTAGGAACTCATTCAACCATCGACAAGGGCGAAACTTGCGGTGCTGCTACATCTCCTAGCGCGGAGTCCGCGTCGGAATCGACCTGAGCATGATCAATACAACTATTGGCGCTCAGCAACAACGGAGGAAAAGACATACACTTAATTCTGCCGAGAAATGGCTCAGGCTGCTGAGTGAATTCGATCTTTCCTCAGAAATTCCTCGCTCTTCTATTGCCTGTTCCGTTTCCTTATCGTGGGGGTCACCTGCCGCGGTTGGCCCCTCTTTGACCATGTTCGTAAAGTCTCTTGCACCTAGTATCTTCTTCTCTATATACGATAATGCTTGAGAATGCGCGAGCGTATGCCGTGATCACCGTGTATTCGGCATATCGACTCGATAATGAATCTAAAAAGTGGCACCTGGTCCGAATGGATACAGGTTCGAGCCCAAAATTAGAATTGCGAGAAATATACTTTCTCTCAAGCCACATTATGCGAGTGTTTCGCGGAGTCACGTCCGCCATCCCGTGTCACAAGCATGGATTTATCCGGGCTCCCCATGCAACAGAGCGGCACGGAATGCGTGTTACCTTCCTTTCCGCGTGATCACATGCATTAGCGGACCACGCAATGCATCCGGGCATTCACTTGATCCAGGCGTATACGCCGTCGATAGCAGGTCTTGATCTATAACAGTAAAATCAAGCCCTGCGCTCTTGGTCCTCTGGTTTTCCTTCATTCATATTTGGAACATTTGCTATCAATGTTAAAAATGATAGCTAGAGGGCGCATTCTCAGGTTAAGTGTAAATATGGTTTGTTGTGCATGGATCTCTTTTCAAGAACAACCTGATTCGTCCTGGTGTGAAATTGCAAATGTGAAAGAGAGTGTCTATTTGCGCTGTGCCAAAGGTCTATTTGCGCTGTGCGTTTATTTTAAAGCAATATGATTGGCTGACGGGAGGGTTAGCGCAACGCTAACTTGCTAGTGTTTCCACCTTAATTTTTTTTGAATGATTTGATTGGCTACACCTTTTCTAGTCATATGACTACTTTTCTCACTAATGTCGGAAAAGTCTATAACTTAAGGCTAGAATAGAGTGATAAAATTTTGAAAAAAATATTATTAAATTTATTATCTTATAAGCTACTAACTAATATTAAAATCATGAGAATTAGATGAAAATTGGCTAAGATATGACTTTAAATACTTTTATAAAGCTCGAAATGTACTAGGATTTTTTACTTTTGCTGTATTACTACTATTTTACATCAGAATTTAGTGATATTAACACTAATCGATAGCTTTTTAGATAGAGATTATAATGATAATTTTTTCAAAAAATTTTCATTATATAAAGCTAGACTTAATTAGAGTTGAAGATATGTAAGTATATTGATGCTTTGGTGGGACCCACTTATAAAACACAGCGCAAATAGATATTTGGCACAGCGCAAATAGACACTCTCATGTGAAAATGGGTGGTACACAGAGAATTAATGGGCGGCAACGCTGTGGTAGCGCGATTTCTCGGGATTGAGCTGGACTGGTCTCAGTCGATCATTTCGATACGCCTTGATGCAGGTGGAATGCCGCGGTTTCGATTTATGCTGCTGCCGTCTAAAAGTCTCGCATGCGCTCAGAAGATGTGATGTTTCTTGTCGTGGCCGATATGCTAGTGATCACCAGTCGGCACTGGATAGTTAGGTCTTCCCCGGGGATGGCAGTGTAACAAAACTCGCGACGTCGGATGGCACCTCATATCAATACAGCAAATGGCGCCTTCGGCACACTGAAGATATCGTGACAATGCTAGAGATTGTATGGCTGTTGAAGATCGCAAGTTTAGGACGTGCATTCGCTATTGAAGCCCCGGAGTTTGGGATGACCCGCCGATCGTCACAAATGTGACGTCTGTGTCGCTTTAACGCGCCTTGCCGATGACCAGCTCAGGCACCACTCCTCTTGGCGGACAAGATTCAAAAGGAATCGAAGGAAGACAGCAGATAATCGTTTCGTGAAGTACCCAGTCCTCGGCTTTCACAATTTCATCTCTCCAAATTCTCAATACTGCGATCCGTCAAAACCACCATGGCGGCCGACTCGGAGCTTGTCGACATCACAGCGCAATGTCTGTGCAAGGCACATACCTTTACTACGGCAGTTGAGCGCTCAAAACTGCCTCTCCGAATATGGTGCTGTCATTGTGATTCGTGCCGTCATTCTACTGGCGCGTTATATTCTAGCGATGCGGCATGGCCTGGCCCTGGTGAGGAGATTCAACATGCGCCGCTCAAGCGTTACGTCTTCACACCCCGCGTGCACATTCTCTTTTGCGGCACCTGCTCTAGTCCCATGTTTTTCGAGGAGTACGATGGACCAGGAAAGGGCCCAACCGGTTGGGGAGTTTTCACAGGAGTCTTGTCCAACAATGCAGTGCCTGGATTGGCGACCATTACCACTCATATCTTCGTGGGCGACACACTAGATGGCGGTGCGACGATGTGGTTGCGAGAAAACGAAAACGGCACACCAATCAAACGGTGGACAACTACGAAAGATCAGAGCGAGGAAATTGCTCCTGAATGGCCCCCTACTGCGTCACTGCCGGGTGCGGATCTAAAGTCAGAGGTTGCTTCGGTTCCGATTCGATGCCGCTGCAAGGGAGTTGATCTTGTGCTGCGCCGAGATGCGATCATTGCTGAGTTCTCTGCAAAACCGAAATCCGAGTTGCCATGGTTCATAGACCCGGTGACATTTAAGCATTTGGCTTCATTTGACGTGTGTGATTCATGTCGCCTGTCCTGTGGAGTCGACGTCTTGCACTGGACGTTCACTATGCTTCGACACATTTCGTTCCCAGAAACAACACATTCTCTAGGTCAATCAGGATTCCCGCAAACTACAAGTGATTTGAGAGCTGCAGTATCACGACAAGATGGCCGTGATTCTCGGCTTGGAACTTTAGCCTTCTACGCAAGCTCTAACGACGTGCAGCGCTACTTCTGCTCTAAGTGCTCAGCCACTGTCTTTTACGCTGTAGATGAACGGCCTGATATAGTGGACCTAGCAGCTGGCTTGCTCGAATCGCCGGCAGGTGCCAGAGCCGAAGACGTCCTCTCATGGAACTTCGGGGGCGAGTCTGCATGGCGGCAGGACGTAATGGGCGGATGGAGGGAAGGCCTCGTCAAATCAATTGAGAAACAGGCAGAAGAATGGAGGATCGAAAGGCAATATCCAAAGAATTGGCGCCGGATCGCCAAAGAAGAGGCTGCGATGACGGCAAAATCCTAGCTTTGCAGTACATGAATATCACTTGAGTGTTAAAGTGTCGACTCTGACTCAGTATTTCGCGGCCGGAAATTCACCAAGTTACTGCAGCATGACAGGACATTATATTGTAGCTACTAAATATCATTTCGTGAGTGAGATTCATTAACCAGATTACACCCGTGGTCGATACAACTGCTGGAACATGCCGTCTCGATGCTCATTCTGACTTGGGCAAGGGATCAATTAGCACAGCCGGCCCGACAGGAACTACTACTGGCGCCGCGCTTTTGTGGACGACCTTGTTGCGCGAGTCGGCGTATCCCCACGCGTAGTGCTTTATGTACGGCGCTGTGGTCTTGTAGAAAGCAGCTCTTGCCTCTCCATTCTCGTCTTGGTCCCAGTAAAGCCGCCTTAGCCATAGATAAAGTCGTGGGTAGTCGTATCGGATCATTTTGAGGTTACACATGAAGACGCTGTAGTAGGCAACATCAAAACGCGCCAGCGTTGTATACAGGCGGATATCCGCCTCGCTAATATGATCACCAAAGAGGTAAGGCTTTCCGTGCGATAGGTGCTCTTCTAATCGATCGAGAGAAGCAAAGATGGGGTAGATATTTGCCTCGTAGGCTTCTTGGGAAGTCGCGAACCCAGTCTTGTACACACCGTTATTGACAGTGTTGTACACCCATTCATTCATGGTGTCTATGTCCTTGCGGATATGTTCAGGGTAAAGGCCACCCCAGGGTTTACTTTCTTCCCTTAGATGGACGGGTAGCAGATCGTCGAACTCTGAATAGAACATACGAATGATTTCGGATGATTCGTTGTTTACCATGGTATCAGTCTTTTTGTCCCAGAGAACGGGCACGGTATATCGGCCTGAATATGAAGGATCCGCGTGGTAGTAAAGCTCCTTCAGCTTCTTGTATCCATGTAAAGGATCTTCTTTCAAGGAGTCGCCTTCGCCACTGAAGTACCAACCCTCGGGCCCCATTACAAAATGCACCTGATAGACTTCGATTATGTCCTCTAGGCCCTTGAGTACTCTTGTGATAAGGGTTCGATGAGCCTACAGTGATAAGCACATAAAGTAACATAAAACATTGATGTCTAAAATCATACCCATGGACATCCCGGTGAGACATAAAGAGCATACCTCCCCTTCTCTGCTGGATACTTGGATTTGGGATCTTTTGAGATGAAATTCCGGAAGATGCTATCTGGCCGTGTGAAATGGCCGTTTGCATGATAGATGGGGCCAATGTTATTTGATTGGGCATCCTGGATGATTCATTAGTATCACTGGATTCTATGGAGCCCACTGAAATTACTTGCGTTGTTTTTTGTTTGAGTCGACATCTTCGAGGACGGCTGAACTATGCGACAATATCTGGGTTTAATAAGGACCGCATCGATCTTTGAAAAAGCATAGCAGACAGAAGTATTGTGCCAAAGAGAGCATCGATGAAGCATTATATTTTATTTGTCTATGTATGTGGATCACACGACGATGATGTAAGTGGACGCGAGCTTCGGTTATCGAAAGTCAAACCAAGGGCAGCTCGGCCCAATCACCCGGGGCGGCACTTTCTCGTCGCCCCGAACAGCGACTACAGAATTCCCGCGCGGTAGACCAATTTGACCTAGTTAGAACTAGATCGCACGCCACTGCATCAGGCGACAACGTTAATAATATGTGATTTTTAAAGCTGACAAATGAGCTGCGACCCGCCCGTCGTCAATTACATCTCGCAACTAGGACTGGTGGATGGAAAACGTCAAGTACGCGCAGCATTACACCATTTATGGGATTCTTGAGATCTTATCAACATCACCCTCAAATCCGCGGCATGTTACCTAATCCGCCATAGGATTGGCCCATAGATCTCAACAAGACCATAGTGAATGTGACTATGCCAAACATAGTTTCACGTCATTCTCCCAACAATATAGAACCCAGTTAACTTGTTGTTTTTGAGTCCATATCGGCCCCCTCAAGCACTCCAGGCACTTCGAGATGTGTTGATATTTTCCTTTTGCCTCATGCCTTCCAACGTTGTTTCTACTTTCCGCCTCTTGACGCTGTTCTCTTCGCTCTCGCAACCCAGAACGAATAATGGCCAGAGCAGAATCGTGACTGCATTGGTATATAAAGGGACGGCGCATATCGCCTGGTGCAGCTCAGAGACGCAAGCCTGAATACGAACTTTAATTGTGTCTGGAGAGAGTGTCGCGGCTAAGCCTTTGCCGTTATGCGTGATCTCAGCTGTGCGGAGCAGAAAGACTCTCGTGGCCAATGCATGGGAGATCGCAGCGAATATTAAAGAATTGTCGTTCCTATTTCGCTGCTGTTCGCGTAGGTAGTTGCCATGAGCCGTAGTTGTATCCAGTAGCACCTGATTTTAAATCTCGCAAAGCATTCTCACGCTCATTGATTAATGTAATAGTTCCAGCAATAATGATGGTCATTTGCTCTAGCGACGCTCCCTGCATGGCTCCTAATCCGACTAGAGACATGGAGGCAGCAATTACAGCCTCGACGAGAGACAATTGAGCCACCGGACTTTTTGGGCTTGAGCTGCCCCTTGTTGTCCATACCGCTAGGGACTTCGAAATTTTAGCTATTGCTCGTTGCTTTGTCTCAAGCATGTTTAGATCAGATATTAAGCCACACGCGGCTAGATGAGCTGCTGATGTTGTCAAACATGCGGACAACAGAACAGAGTCCTGGTCACAGAGGACTTGATAATACTGTCTCCCGGAGTCGCCGGAGTCTTCTGGGTTAGGGTATAGTAATTCAGGAAGCGATTGGGTGTAGTGTGTGAACAACAGAACGTCCAGGGGCGAGCTTAGATTCGGGCCAACCCAAAGACTCCGAGGTACGATGTCATTGCTCAATGTATAGTCTGGTAACGCGGGTGTAGAACACCAGCTCTGGAGTGCGGAAGCGGTAGTATGATTGAAGGATTGTGAAGGTAGTGGCGAAGTGTACCTTTGGGAGACCTCAGTGGTCACCCACTTAAGGGTTTGGTGATATCCGCGGCACTGTGTATTTTGTTCATGACACTTTGCGCAATGCGGCCGGCCTTCGTCGCATTTGATACGACTGGCACGGCAATTCAGGCAGAAGTTGATCACGACAACAAGTACATCGAATATCTCGGCTGGACCTTTTACACTCGCTTCGACAAGGATGTGGGGGTACAATTCTACGAAGTTTATTTCAAAGGCGAGAAGATTTTTTATGAGCTGGCACTTCAAGATGCAGTTTGCTCAGTATGCCGGAAATGACTCTTTCTAGGCTGGGACTGCTTATTCAGATCGCTTTTACGGTATCGGTGCTCAGGTGAGCCGGGTCATCCCTGGTTATGACTGCCCTTACGGCTCAACCTACTTCAATGTTACCTACACCGAAGACACCGAGATCTACGAGGTGCCCAACGCGATTTGCATTTTCCAAACCGATATAGGTACACCCATCACACGTCACACAAACAGTAGCTACTCTCAGTCAACCAAGGTTCCAAACTAGTAGTGCGTCAAATTGCAACAGCGGAAACTACGACTATCTTTGGGATTATGGTTTCTATGTAGATGGTACAGTTTCCATCGACGCTCATGCTTCAGGGTATGTACAGGCCAATTACTACCGTCCGGATGACAACGGTCTCTGGGGACCCTGTATTCAGGAGACCATCGCCGGTACCTTACACACCCACGTCATGAACTTCAAGGCCGACTTTGACTTAATCAACCCCAACAATACGTTCTATAAGGTTGATATCATCGTGGAGAATATTACCCAACCGTGGTTCCCAGAGAGAGGGACCTTTGAGATGATGCGGTACAATATTACTGAATTGCAAACTGAAGACGAGGGTCTACTGCCCGTCCCTGCTAATGGTCAGAGTATGTACACGATCGCCAACAAGGACGCCTTAAACGAATGGGGCAATCCGCGTGGATACCGCATTCTTCCTGACCTTTCAAATGTTGTCCTAGCATCTAAACTATCGCCATTCTTTCTGAAGTCTGCCGAGTATGCGAAGCAACCCTTCGCCATCTCCCGACATCACGATACGGAGCCCGCTGCCTCAGCCGGTCTCGGCCAAAACGTTCCCGAGGCCCCGTTGGTTGAATTTTGGAAATTCTTTGACGGAGAAAGCCTTGTGCAGGAGGATATTGTCGCTTGGGTCAATCTTGGCATGCACCACTACACACGTGCCGAGGATATCCCCAACACCCTGATGAGCGAGGCCCATTCCAACACCTTCTTCGCGCCGCAGAATTGGGGAAACACCGAGCTGACCAAAGACCTGGCTAATTCCATCATCTTCGAAGCCAATAGCAATGATGATTTCGTTCCTTACACCAACGATGTCGAGCCACCAAATTGCATGGCACTCTTGCCGTCCGACACTCTTCCCGGTGTCTTTACCAGCTGATACTCTCCAACTTGGCTTGGCAGGCACATGCAACCTTCTAAATATTCACGACGACTGGTATTAGCCGTCATAAAAGACGAATCGAGCAGGTAGTAGCTTAAATTAGCTGACATCTGCAAAGCTATGGCATAGTTTTATAGGCATAATTACCCTCTAGATGCCAAACTTACTAAGTAATCAAGGGGAATGTTAGGGACTCAGCAGATAGCATTGTGGTTCAGGTATAAACAAGTTATTTGTTTGATCAGATTCGACCCAGATCGCTTTGTCCAATACACCTTAAGAGACACAATGAGACTAAAACCATTGTCTCTCTTTACAGTAACCAATTTAACATAATAAAGTCAAGAGGATATAGTTTAATTTACACAGGCGTATACACAGAATGCGATTGCGCAGCGCTCATAATCTATAACGCAATAGGCTTGTATATTAGGGGGTTGTGGCTGCTACAACGCCGACTAGCTACTAGGTGCTATGGAAAGACTAATGTATGCCCCCGGCCTGGCGGCCAAGTGGTCAACAATTATCATAAGAGCCGGTATAGGATACTGGCTGCCGTCGCGTTAGAGGACGGCATTTGACAGTCGGATTTGCTATTAGAGAAGCAGCACATAGGATTCAAGCCTTCTGCACATCCGAAGGCAACAAGCCAGACAAGCTCTTTTGCGTATAATGAAGGGCTCCAACAGAGATGCCTGATTCCAAAAGTCAATGTCCGACAGTGCCAACAGCCGGAGGTCATCAGCACCATCTACGGCCACAACTCCCACAACACGCATCCCCTCGACCTTTTCGCCAACCCTTGTCTTTAGAGGACTACTGTAACGACAGAATCTGTCAGCCTTGTCCAGAGGCACCATGCTGTCGTGAGCACACTCCTCAACCAAGTATGCCTCAGCTAGGTTGCCCCAAATATGCTTTGTAACTACTTCTGCTTCTTCGTGGGTTGGAGATTCAAGAACCATATGGACCTCGAGAAACCCGTCATAAGAGGTTACTCGCCAGTTTCTCTTGAAATCCGACATCAAATTTACGGGACATGTGACGTCCTGCAGGCCCTTGGATTCGAGGAGATCGTGTGGTCGGATCCTGCCGGTACTGCTGAGAACACGCGTCCATGACTGGCCCTGGTACTGTAGTATACCACGGGCTCGTGTTATCATTAGATATCCACTCTTTTCAATCTCATTTGTGTCAAATATAGTCGGGTAAACTACTTGACCTCGAGAGGAAGACATGACCCATTCGTTAAAGTGGAAGTCTTTCACGAAATGGTGTCCAATAAGACCCAGAACCCATTTCATCAAAGAGGCAATGTCACAACGACCGGGGGTTCCGTCGTGAATAATATTTTTCACAGTACCAAGGAATTCATATTCTTCAATGCGGATGTTAGGTCGGGTAACATCGAGCTGAAGAGTCTCAGGGTCATAGAATAGAGATAGCGCAAGGGAATCTGCGACGAAGAGCTCAACGTCCGAGAAGAACCTTCCTTTCAAGCAGCCCATGTTTAAAAAGGAGCCTGGCTTGCATTTGTCACAAGAGCATGTATCGCTTAGAGTCCGTAGGTATTCGTTGACCAACGGCAGGTCACGAACGAGCAAGCCCTCGCTGAATGTTGGTAGATGGTCGGCTTCCTCTGCATCTAAAATTAGAGACAGCGCTCGCGACATGATTCGACTATTTGGGAATGGGCTTAGCCGAAGGGGCAGGAGGTGTCTCTCAGGAATCCGAGAGGTTTGAGTGTGGAGAGGATGGGGATCCACGGCCTCGAGAAGCATATGTTTGCCAGTACACACGATGTTGCGTAAGGCACAGCATGTTTCATGATGCGAAGTTTCTCCTTGTCAATGTTGCGCTTCAAAAGCTGCCATGTCCGGTAAGAGGACACGCTGACCATGCCCGTCCACATGGATTTCTGCTCCACCACGATGATCTCCTGAAGAGCTCCGAGGCTATGATGGATTGTTACCTTGAACTCCTCTTTCGTGTCACCAGAGCTCAAATCAGTGATAATTTTAACTGGTGAGCTCGCCTCCTCTATGATTGCTATTCCTCCTGTAGTATATACAGAAGGCGGGACTCCCAAGCACCACTTAGTGAAGGCGACCAGCCAAGCCGTATTTTTTGTGGCCGCAATGGTAACTCCAATGGCAGTATCTTCGCCGATGCGTCCAATCTGTCTGAAAGCATCAATGAGCTTTTCGATTGACTGAGGTCCCGGAACAATAAGATCTGGCGCAGTGAATGAACTCGGCAGGGGCATGAAGAAACCACGATATATAGATGGCCGACACAACAGGCTATGCCATCCAGTGACAGAGTCGGCAAAATTGATCGCATGGCATCTAGGCTCGAGTCTTGCGAGTAAGTCTCGGATTTGCTGTGTGTTCGGCAACAGTGTTTTGTCTGTAGCCGTCTGCCGTAACATTGCCTCGACGGCTTCGCTAGCTTCCCATACTCCCATACTGGTTATCAAAGCAGCCGCAAGTGCCAGAAACTGCACACCGGCCAAGCTCTTCCCCAGCTGTGTTGCACAGTCATCGGACGAGAAGCCGATAGCCCCGCGGAGGAACTGAACAGGCGCTGGCTTCGGCGTGGGAATAACGACCTTCTCGATCTTTTTACATGTCTCCGGGTTCATAGCAAGAGTATTGCCAAATCGCTCACAGGCAAGGATTGCGAGAGGTTGAACATTATCGCTTGTGGCTGCCTGTAGAACACCGCGTGCAATGTTATAGAAGTCTTTCGAGCTCTGGTTAAGGCTCCACTGGAGTTGAACGTCCATTATGTCTTCGCTATGCCCGCAGTTAGAGCTGTTGCTGATGTAGACCTCTCTTACGCAAATTACTAAAGATAGAACGGTCTTAACATTTATAAGGACATTACGGTCATCAAAAATTTGGAGTGGTGTACAGATCTTGCGGTATTGGTTGGCAAGGCTGGCCTCTCCGCTTGCAAGGCCTTGTCAGCCAACCACACAAACCGGGCGACAATTACATCAGGTGGCTGTATATTACATGCATAATTCATGCTGTGTAACACAGCATAAGGCCCTTACTCGGGCGTGACCGCCAGTTTTGACGTCGGTGTATGGTTGTAGAGTTCATGGAGGCTGGGTCCAGGGCCCGTCATCTTCTTTTCGAAAGATCTGGACTCGCGCCTTGCTGACAAAAGTCCATAACCCAGTCAAATCGCGTATATCACTCAGACAGACTAGTGGGCCCAATGATGTTATCACGCCATTGAAACATTTTACAGTGCTTTTTAGCTTGTCCAAAGGAACCGGCCAGGTGGGAGTAGCGCTGTTCTATCCATCTCTAGGATCATCCATCTATCTCTAACTTGATAACTCCATGCCTCTTGCTTCTAAAACCTACAGCCATTTGACTACCTCTACAAAAGGTGGTCAAAAGATTTTACTCATTCAGCCCATCCGGCGTGTATATATATCTGTTCAGATCCGCACTCTTCATCTTCGCGTGACAACCACACCTTGTACCCGACATACAGCGCTACGAAAATGATGAGGCTGACATAGCACGCAAAAAAGTCGGCTGTGTGGGGGTTGAACAAGCTGGTTCTACACCAGGTAGTCCTTAAGGGCGACGAGCTGGCCCTAGGCAAGGTGCCATTGACTCCTTCTAAACGAGTACAGCCAGACTGAGGGGCTGACGTCAGTGTTTCAAAGGAATAGGTATGTTGGGGATAACTAGGCCAGACGACCACGCTTTCTCTAAATCGGACGGATTATGTCACGAGAGCCATAGAGAAAGCGATGCTGTGTATTATAACGCTATGAATGCAATATTTTTTTGGGGGTATCAGTATTCTATGGAAAACATGGCACATCTATCGGCGACAACAAAATCCAACATAGTGGCGGAATGAACAGCAGATGCCATACCACTACTTCAGACTTCTCTGTCTTTTCTTGACCATCCATTTATCAATAAACATGTTTACCACTTAAGTGTTCGTGTCATTACAGTTGACCGTAGACATTCCTTTCGAATTCTCTAACGAGTCAAATACAAACAACAGCAGCTTTGTTTCGTGATATAAACTTTGCCTAGAAAAAGAAATGCGGCAACCTCAAGCAGAGTCCAATTCCATCTGATCACTCGAGTCGGCTAGCTGCCTCACCTTAAATCACCATGCAAGATGTTTCTTATTGATACTTACCCAGGAGTCTGAATTCCGATTTGCCATTACTTCGACAATATTTCTTGAGCCACTCACTTCGTTTTTCTAGCTCATTGCTCGTCTTTTGCTACACCAAAAGCCTATCAAGACTCTCGCAACAAGGCGACACGAAACCCTATGAGGTTCGGATAGCAACCAGAGATCTTTTGCCTTCACCATGTCGGAATGGCAAATAGTTGCTAAGAAATGCCGTCGTTTGAGCCAGGAGGGAAGTGTGCAATGGCTCAAGCCTAAGCATCACCTCTCTATCACAACAGAATTAGATCCGGAGCTTCATGATGACGTTTACAACCATCCCTGCATACTCATGAAAGAGAAAGACGACCATGGCTGGGTGTTCATATGCACTGTACGTACATCATCGCTCCAAACGGCTCTATTAAGTTGACTGGTCTGATACACATCCATAGCTCACCACCCTGGATGGCTTAACAGTAGAGAAAAAACATCCAAATGACTTCCATGCTAGAGCAAACTACGTTCCCATAGCACCTCAGCAACGCCACCCAGATACTGGGGTTCTCCTCAAATTGCGCGGAAATCATGAGCTCAAAAGATTGTCTTACGTGAAGACTGGAGAGATTTATTACGTTCCAGCTCAATTTCTACGCGAATATTATGCAGATGGACGAAGCCTTAGCCTGACCAAGGATTCTTTCACTGCATTGCGGAAGCACGGAGATTTTCTCAACCCCAACTGGGCGTCTACTAAGGATGATCCTCACCGACTTTCTGTTAGCTCAGCCGATGATTAAAATAACTAAGATTCGATGGAATGGGTTGACATCTTGCTGTCTGGAGTTGTGCAATCAAGGGTATCAGTTGGAGGAAGGATATGGAACGGCGCAAATCATGTCACAGAAGGAGAAGACTTGTTCCTTGAGCATAAAAAACATGAACTTTAAAAGTACCGCAGCCTTCATTCTATTGAAAGCAACTCACTAAGGGTGTTTTAGCCATACTATAGATGGAATGGAAAAATTAACATCATAAGAGCTCTGTGTGAGGAAGAGGCTGTTTCTGTGATGTCTAGAGTAAATGAGTTTAATAATCATTACGCCTTGAACGGCAACAAATTAGAAACAATCTCATTGTAATATCCAGGTTCAAAGAACGATCAAAAGCTAGTTTTCTTTCTAGCTATCGTCTCACACCTCCTCCACAGGAAAGAGGAATGTGATGTCTAAACCTCTCAGGATATCCTCCCCTTCAACTTCCCACCCCTCGTCTCCCAAGATCTCCACAACGTCACTCCGGATCTGTTCCGTATTCCTATACTCACCATTCCAGGATCTCCTCACTATTTTCCCCAAGAACTCCTGTTCCAGTGCCGGCCACTGCCTCGCAGACACCATTGCCTGTACCCTCCTGTATCGATCTCTGGGGCCTAGTCCCGGGCCAAAATCCCGTCATCAACTCATATACAAATGCGCCCCACATAAAAGGTCCGTCTGCCGCGTAGGTGTCGCTGCGTTCCCGCGATTATGCGCATAAGGATGGAATGCCTCGCCGATTGTCGAGTTACCATTCCAGGCTGGTGTGCCGGCGTTAACCAAGCCCGCGAGCGAAATGGACATCGAGGGAGACGATGAAAGCCAGTACTGCGATGTGGCGAGCTCGCCGAAGAAGACGTCATTCCTGTGGAGGAAGCCGAAGCCTGAGAGCACTTGAAGGCTCCACTGGTAGATGAGAGGTCGATACTGCGGGTTGATGCGGGATGCTGCCGAGTCTACGGAGTGAGAGTACATGGCTGACTTGTACTTCTGGAAGAAGTCTGAGAGAGGTGGATCAGAGGGTTTGGCGAGGACGGGAAAAGCGGTCCAGGGGTCGCGACGAAGGAAGCTGTTGAGTTGTTATAAATAATCCGATCCCGGGTAGAGGGAGAATGAACGAAACTCACGAGACTAGCCGTGGGTGTGACTCTCCAAGTGATTCGTAGATCCGAGTCGCCTTCCAAACCCTTAGAGCCTGCTGGTGTTGCGTGTCTTTCCGCCATTCGGCATCGGGAGAGTCGTCTGGGTTGTGGATGTACTCCGGCGGGAGGAGGATGACGGCGTCATCGTCAAGTTGCTCCGCATATACAAGACCAAGGTCTACGGAGAACTGGGTGCCGTGCGGTCCTCGTATTATTGGCTGTGGACGTTGCGCTGCAGTTGCTGAAGGAGGAAGCGCACCTGGACCTCTATAGGTGCGTGCCATGATATTGGGAGGTCGGTGTAGGAGCTCGAGGTGGGTGGAAGTCGTCAAATTAGTTAGCTCCGGTCTAGAAAGTAAGTGCGCGTACATTGTGGACTCTATACGTGGACTTTGAGCTTGCGAGGGACGCGGCCCTGTTGTGAGTAATCTGCTTGCACTTGGAGTAGTAAATACATGATGCAGTCCCATTGTCTCTGGCTGAGAAGCTCACATATCTGACAGTTTCTATATGGAACGCCGTCCATCAGGGACACGGCAGATGATTTAGCGACTTACCACACTTGGTAAGCGAGACTTAGGTAGTGGAAATCCAGCCTCCATGCCCCTACACATACAGTATCTGACGCTATCTGTGCCAAATGTCAAGTATAGAGCAAGACTTGACAGACGAACGTCCACATTCGAATCATCATTAGAAGGTTATAATAAAATTAGTCTTCTACTGAGAGTTATTAGGTAGTTACAATATTTTAAGGCGAGATGACTATGGTCCTGAGTCGTAAATGTCTCTACAGTATCACTGTAGCATCTGTTGCATTGCATTGAGCCTGTAGCTTTCTCTGCGTTCCATAAGCTCAGCATGGCGCCCGCTGTCAACTATCTGGCCACCTTCTACAACCAGTATCACATCAGCTTTCTTCACCGTGTGAAGTCGATGTGTAATGGCTATCACTGTAGTGCCTCGTGACGCTCTTTCAAGCCCCTCTTGCAGTGCAGCCTCGCTGGCAGCATCCAACGCGCTTGTGCTCTCGTCAAGAAGCAGGAGACGGGGTCGGCGGACAAGGGCCCGGGCAATGGCAATACGTTGTCTCTGACCACCCGACAGCCGAGAGGCTGATGGACCGCATTCGGTGTCGTATCCATCGGGAAGAGATACAATCACATCGTGGATATTTGCCAGGCGACAGGCTTCCTCGATTTCAGCATCGCTAGCGTCATGGCCCGGTAAAGCACCTAGCCCCACGTTGAACCGCACAGTACCATCAAAGAGGGCAGGGTCTTGAGGCACTAGAGCAATATCGTCTCGGAACGATGTAGGGAGCTTTGCAATATCCTCATCGTTAATGAGGACGGCGCCAGAGGTGGGACTGTAGAGGCGCTGGACTAGGTTCATGATAGTGGACTTGCCGGCTCCGGAAGGGCCGACCAAGCCACAGAACGTATTTGGTGGAATTGTGAAGGAGACGTTATCGAGAATTGTAACATCAGGGCGGGTAGGGTAGGAAAAGGAGACGTTCTTGAACGCCACTTTTGCGCCGCTACGGCTTTGCACGTCGTTGGAGGGTTTAGTTCTTGCTTCGCCAGTGGCTTCAACATCGTCTCCTGACTTCGAAGGATCTCTTCCCGGCTTGCCTGCATGAGTGCTAGATCCCATGTTGACAACTGTCATAACGCGTGACAGGGCTAATCGAGCACGAGAGAATTCTGGTGCAAGAGAGAACATGCTGCTCCAGAGCTGCGCGCTCGTGAGCATCGCAACAAGTATGATAAGAAAATCGGTTTGCGAGTACTCCCCCTTCATGATAAGCTGTGAGCCCCACCAGTAGGCAAGTGCGTTGACAAAGGTACCAGTGGTATAGGATATTGCCAGCCAGATATTAGTCGTGACCGACGCGCGCACGATCTGCTTCTCAGGCGGTTTCAATAATCGTCTGAAAGACTTCATGTATTCGCTTTCAAGTGACAAAATAGCTACGGTACGAATAGATTGGGTGGCTTCAGTGGCAAGAGATGTAGCTGTAGTGAAGGCGCTGCGGTGGCGCTCTTCATAGCGTGCCAACATACGAAGCTGCATAAATCCCGATCCAAGGAGTATGGGCACTGTTACCAGGCATACCAAAGCGATCTTCCAAGCGAAGATATGGGATATTATAATAGCAATGATAACATTGACGCAGATGCCGAACACGGTACCGAATGTCGATCCGCTGAAGGCGCCAACTGATACACTATCCTTAGTGATGATCGAGAGCAGGCTTGATGGTGTTCGACCTTCAGACTGATGCCAATGTATGCTTTGTTCGAGGAGAGACCGAAATGAGAGGATGCGTAGATTATAGAGCAGTTTCTCGGCCACAATTCCAAAGCCTAACCAGGCGAGGAAATTTGCGATGAGTTCAACTCCTGCAAGCATGAAGTATAGGCCGGCAAAGAAGCTGCCCATATGCCGTATGTGCTCAACAGTGCTATTACACGGGTTAAGCTCACCGACAGTGAACCCGAAGATGAGACCGGCACCAGAGAAAGTCGCTCCAACAAATACTGCGGCTATGATTGCCAGGGTAAACCAGCTCAGAGACGGTCTAATTAGCCATGCTAGCCCTCTGAGAACGGAGCTAAAGGGCTTTACGAGATCTAGTTCTTGGTCTTTGGCGGTTTCCTTCTCTTTGTCTTGGTCTTTCTCTTGAGATTCTTTTGCTGACGAGAGCTTGCTGATGACTTGGTCGGCTTCAGTCATTTCAGCCTTCTCAGTTGCTTGAACCTCAGTCTTCAAACTTGACGCATCAAGTGAATCTCCGGAGACGGACCCTGAATCCGTCTTGCTTGTAGACCCGACTGACTGTAGTTTGGCCAGGCGGGCAAATTCTCCTTCAGGCTTAGCCATGAGCTCTGCGTATGTCCCCTGCTCGACCACTCGACCAGCTTGCATAACAACAATGTTGTCAGCATTACGAATTGTCGAGAGACGGTGCGCGATGGAGATGATAGTGCGCTTCTCGGCAGCGGCACGCTCTACGGCAAGTTGGATTCTCTTCTCACTCGCAGAGTCAAGGGACGCCGTTGCCTCATCTAGGACAAGTATCTCTGGCTCACGAATCAAAGCGCGAGCAAGTGCAATTCTCTGGCGTTGTCCACCACTCATAAGAGAACCGTTTGGACCAGCAGACGTACCGTACCCGGATTCGAGACGCTCAATGAAGCTGGCTGCATCAGCCTGCTCTGCGGCTCGCTGAATAAGGACTGCAAGCTCTGCAAATTCAGGTCCTAAGGATGCGGCCGAAGATAGTGCATCTTTGCCTCTAGCAGCCAGCTTGGTAATCTCAGGTCCATTGAGTAACGGCTTGAGATGTTGGTGGGCAGCCTTCGGAGAATTGACAAGTCCAAGAGCAATATTTTCTAATATTGAGCGATCAAGTAGAGAAGGTTCCTGTGGAACAAAGCTGATGAAGCTTCGGAGAGACCTGACGTTGAGATCCCGTACGTTGTGGTCTTCGAGCTCGACTGTGCCCTGTGTAGGGTCGTAAAGACGTGCAATCAGAGCAGCGATGGTCGACTTTCCACTTCCCGAGAGACCCACGATGGCAGTGTATCTTCCCGCTGGGAACTCCAAGTTCACATCTTCCAATACAAGCTGTCCAGGTCGCGATTCGTACTCAAATGATACGTTACGTAGGGCCAGTGCTTTTCCGGTGCTTGGTGGAAGAACGATACCGGCATCAGAGGTGCCGTCGATGGTAGATGGAGCGTCGATATCCTCCATAAGTCTCTGGTAGGCGGCCGTAGCCCCGCCTAGGAAAGGCAAAGAGGGGGCTATTCCTCCTAACATAACACATGCATCAACAAGAAGGTAGACTATAGCATAGATCTGACCAACAGTAGAGCCTCCATCACCGGTCTCAACCGAGTCAGCTATTTTAAGGCTGCCCTGCCAAAAGGCCAGCGCATTCCCTGAGTACGCGATGAAGTATAACAGGCCGGTCTGGACAGCCGCAATGGCGGATTTCGTTATGGCGTTCTTGCGAGCACGTGCCATATGCTCAGAAAATTTGGCCTCGAGGCGAGGGGCGGCACCGAAAGCTTGAACAACAGCCACATGCGAGAGCGCTTCGGATGCGATAGATGAGGCGGACGCAGCAGCCTCGGTCTGACGGACGAAGTACTTGCTCAGATACTTTCCGCCCAGAATACCTGAGAGAAGGAAAGCGGGAAGCATGCATATGAGAATACCAGCGAGGCGAGGCTGCTTGGTGAATGCTATGACAAACACGGTGATGAAAAAGCTGACGGTGGTAAGAATGTTGCCAACCTTTTCAGAGGTGCCGGCCTGGATAGCAGTGATATCACCATTAAGTCGACTTGATACCTGACCAGAGGCGCCACGGGTGTCGAAAAAGGCTGGCGGCTGACGCAGGAGAGCTGAAACATAACGCGTGCGTAGGCGTTGAGCAAGTCGCTGGCTGATTATGTTCCAACAAGTAAGATGACCATAGATGAGTACGAGTGCGATGGCACCGATGTATGCGGTCTTGATGACTTTGTCGTTAATCGATGACTCATATTGAAAGGGATCAACAGAACTGCTTGACCCGTCTCCATCAGCAGCACAAGTTGCACTGTTGAAATTATCGATGAGCTGACCGAACAGGACACCCATGAGAGGAAACGGAACGCCGGCGCCGGCGGCACAAGTGGTGCCGCAGACAATGAGCAAGATGTCTATCCATGTCGGGCTGGCAGCAAAGAGGAGTTCGAAGTAAACAAATGAGCTTTTAAAAGTCTACAATGGATGTCAGTTTGGTTCCCCTTGATAACCGCATTCTCAGAAGGATAGTTCAGACTGACTGATAATACAGTATTTTGCTTTGCTACAGCCGGCGCACCGGTGCTGTGCTCGGTGGATTTTGCCGGAGGCCGTTGCTCTTCCGTTTCGGGCACCTTCTCTTTGACGGCATCGCCAGGTTCCGTTGCCATGATCTCGGCCCCCCTCCAATTCCAGCCTTAGAAGATAAGGTTATGATCTAGTTGCTCAGATCGTCTCTGAAGAGACAGGCACGCACAGAAACAGATTCTCACTTGCAACCTAATCAATCATTTGGCCTGGCAAATGGCCAGAAGGGAGAGAGACAAATTGGCGTGGCAATCACCGGCATTCTGGAACCTCAAACATCTGGCATATGATCCGATTCTCGGAGAGCCACGATCAAATTGCCTCAACGAGAAAAAAAAAAACCAATTCATTAGGTAAAAATTCAGGTACATGACTGGGCGCGAGATCGTCGGTAATGCTGTTTGAGATAGGTACTTGGGTTGACAAGTATGCATGGGCACCGATTTATCCACGACCCACAAGCGTGCTCTCACAGGATCGGCACCGCAAAGCAGCGGAGGAAGGGGCCGGATCAGCGCTGTTAAGGTTGCTTAGACTTTGCATAGAGAGCATTTAACTATTGGTGGTATCCACGGTGAAGTGTCAGAATCAGGATGCCGGGCCGGGGCTGTCGGCAAGGGTCTGTGAAGAAACCCGGCAAATGGGTGGGGCCCAGTCGGGGATCAGATAAGATGAATACAGCGGCATGCGGCGGATCAGATAAGATTAACTGCTAATCCCACGCCAACTCTAATGCAGCCTTGCGCGGGCCGGTGTCAGACCACATCTGTTAGACGCACCCCCCGTCTCCATTGGGCTTAATTGCTGCATTTCCGTTTGCTTTTCCACGAGGAATTCTCATGGCGTATTTTTATTTTTGCTGAGAAGGACGCCCCGCCTGGACATCACATTATGTTTCCAGGTTGAACGATGCTCTCCTGCCCTTGATCACGAAATCCCTCTCCCGGCAGTGATCTTCAACACTATTGCTCATGTGGCTTGTCCCAGTATATAAGAGGGGTAAGCATCGGAGAAACATGCATGGAAGCAGCACTGCCTGCGAGGTACAGCAATACACGAAGGCCCCCAATCATCCTTCTTCTTTCGCAAACATGGCGGCGACCTTGCCGACTTTGCGAACTACGCGCCTGGAGATGCGACCCTTGGGGCCCGAGGACAAGGAGTTTCTGTTCCAACTAGACTCGGACCCAGTCGTCATGAAATACATCTACACCGGCAAGCCACTAGACAGGGAGACGTCGGAAATGATACATAAGCATCTGGTCGAGATACCCGCGTCTGGGCCTGGGTTCGGGTGCTGGGTGGGTGTAGCGGGTGACGACCTCGTCGGATGGTGGGTGCTTGCTCCGAGCCAGACCACGGACGACCCCCCACAAGTCAACAAGGAGAGGGCCGAGTATGGCATGAGAATCACGCCCAAGTTCTGGGGGCAAGGTTACGCAAAGGAGGGTTCGCGCGCTGTGCTGAGGCATGCCTTCGAAGACTTGGCAGTGAAAGAAGTGTATGGCGAGACGATGGCCGTCAATGCGGGGTCTCGAGCAACGATGGCGGGTTGTGGGCTGAAGCATGTGCGTACTTTTCACAACAAGTACGACGACCCGCCTCCTGGCATCGAGGAGGGCGAAGTGGAGTATCGGATTACCAGGGATGAGTGGAGTGCACTACAGTAGATCCCGCTCAGAGATAAGATAGCAAGCAGATTGCCTCTTTAGGAACAGCTCTGAAACCTTGACAGGCTTTAAGTCGCACTAGAATAGAAAACCATTTACGCCACTATTCTCTTTTCAACTACTCTCAGTGGACCACTTTCATTTTAGAGAGAGATTTCAAAATGACGGAGCATCACGCGTCAAGTGTTTAGGATAATTCAACAGTCACATAACATTGTAAGCGCGAAAAAACTTTCTTTGCTAGCGTAGGTTCTTGACTTGGCATCACGGTCGGGCCTTGTCGGGCATGCTATTACGTCCAACATAGGCGCCGCGGCTGGGCGAACACAGCTGGTCAATACAGTTCGTCAGGTTAGGCATTCTTGGCTGAAGAGCAGTAATTCGTTCCTGGTGACAAGGTTTCCCCCATCGCCGTGTTGATCGGCAGTGGTATGGTCTCCGCCCACAATCAACGCGTGGCTTTTGCTGAAACTCAAGCCACCAGCAAAGATTCTCCCAACCAATGGCCCCATCGATCCAGTTCTAGGTTCATTCGATCAGATTAGATTAGACAATTCTGTTTCACGCCATACGCGGGATCCCCACCATGGGAAGAGTGCTAAGCGCAAGCCAACCGATCTCGGACCGTGCGCAAACCATCTGGTGTTGAACCCTTGTATGTGCCCTTCCCAAGCGAGTGTGTGCCCCGGCCCTCTTTGCGGGACCCTTCCTTTCTAGTAAACACTGGCCGCTACCAGTTGGTTCAAAATTTTAATCACCCAAGCCCATCAGGCCGTTCTCGAACCAATAAATGATTTCTGCTGAAAGCGGCCGACGTCTGCACGCAGAGATAAAGACTGGAACATTACCAAGACAAAGTTGCAGACAGATCTGCTCCTCATCGTCGTCTTCAACCTGCCAAGTTAATAGCCATGTCTGTGTTGTTGAATAAGCTCCGTCCTGGAGCGGAACATAAGACGCCTGAAGTCGCTCAGGCCCCTACCACCGCCGAAGACCCAGAGACTCAGGTGGCCACCGGCACTGTCACTCCAAACAAAGAGACTGGTGTTGGCTATTCTGACGACAAATCAGCAGACAATGGCAATGAAGAGCTCGTCCCAGCTGCAGACGCGCAACGTGGTATCCAGAAAATCGAGGCGGTGACGTTATCCTGGACAAAATGGTCGCTGGCTGCGTTATTATTCAAGTATGATTCTATCGTCGCCGTCTCAAGAGTAATGAACCCGATCTAACATGACCTCCACAGTATTTGGATCATCTTCTTGACCAATGGCTTCAGAATCTCGGTTCTCTACAGTCTTGTCCCATTTGTTACAAGCGATTTTCAGTCTCATTCGCTATTGACTGTCATCGGTATTGTAGCGGACGCGATGACGGCCGCGGTGTACATCCCGATGGCTAAGCTACTGGACGTTTGGGGTCGTGCTGAGGGGTTCCTCCTCATGGTCTGCTCTGCCACCCTAGGCACCATTTTGATGGCTACATCTCACAATCTGTCTACGTTCTGTGCCGCACAGGTGAATAAATCCATTCAATTGAATGGTCGAGATCATTTATGCTGATTTTTCGATACAATATAGGTCTTTTACTCCATTGGATTTGCTGGCGTTATTTACACCGTGGCCGTACTGGCGGCTGATGTTACATCCTTGAGAAATCGAGGCTTGGCATTTGCCTTTACCTCGTCACCATACATGATCACCGCATTTGCTGGCTCTAAAGCTGCTGAGGGCTTTTATTATCATGTGCATTGGAGATGGGGTTTTGGTTGCTTTGCGATCATTGTCCCAGCTGTGACTCTTCCGTTGTTCTTCATGTTGAAGCTTAACCTTCGCAAAGCTAAGACACATGGTGTCATTTCAGAAGATGGCGATAAGCGAAGTGTTTTCAAGATCATCTGGGACGGCGTCATCGGCTTTGATGGTAAGTAAATCGGAGACAATGAAAGTATCAAGTGCTAATCTTGCTTCGTCACTACCAGTACCGGGAGTCTTTCTCTTTGCCGGTGGCCTTACGATCTTCTTGCTGCCATTTACTCTCGCCACCTCCGCTCCTCATGGCTGGAAGTCTGGCTACATTATTGCGATGATTGTTGTTGGATTCGTTTTGCTTGTGTTCTTTGGCTTATACGAGACGTATCTGGCTCCTCAGCCATTCCTCAAGAACCAGTTCTTGACCGACCGTACTGTTGTTGGGGCTTGTCTTATCGACATGACATATCAGATCTCGTACTACTGCTGGAACAGCTACTTCACGTCTTTCCTCCAAGTCGTTAGCAACCTTTCTGTATCCGAGGCCGGGTATGTCAACAGCACGTTCCAAGTCGTTTCAGGTGTTCTACTCTTCATCTGTGGTTACCTGATTCGCCGCTCTGGACGCTTCAAGTGGCTATTCTATATCGCCGTCCCCATCTACGTTTTCGGTTTGGGCCTGATGATCCACTTCCGTCAACCTAACCAGTATATCGGATACATCGTGATGTGCGAAATCTTCATTTCGGTCGGAGGCAGCATCTTCATTCTTCTGGTGCAGCTGGCCGTTCTTGCGGCTGTCGACCATCAGTACGTCGCTGCTGTGCTTGCCATGCTCTATGTCTCTGGCACTGTTGGTGGTGCTATAGGCAACGCAATCTCCGGATCCATCTGGACGAACACCTTCCTGAAGGCGCTCACCCGCAATCTTCCCGCGTCTGCGCAACCAGATGTTCTCACCATTTATTCGAGCTTGCCTGTACAGCTTTCTTATCCGATCGGAAGCGACGTACGAATTGCGATTCAGAACGCGTATGGATATGCGCAAACAAGAATGCTTGCCGCTGGGACAGGTATCATGGCGCTGTGCTTCATTTGGGTCCTCCTTATCAGGAACTTGAACGTCTCGCAGAAGACCACGCAGACCAAGGGTGTTGTGTTCTAAGGGGCGTATTCATCGCAGCAGAGAGCTTCCATTGACATATTTGCACACTTCTCTGTTCTGAGAGATAGCCAGGTCTTTCTAGATTCCAGGAATTGTTGTGTACCTAGTCATTGCCGCAATACCTAAGTTCTCGGCGCTGCGCATCTTGTTCGGGCCTTGCCTTTGAGAAAAGAAAAGATTTGGTGACAAGTACTACAGTGATAGCGAGGAATTATAACTTTGTACAAGAAATAATTTGCGACAACTGTTCCGTCAGTCCCCAGCCTTTGAAACGTTATCTAGATCTCACGCACAGCAAATGCAGCAACCAGCCATCATGTCTGCAGCCAGCATTGAAGGATTCGTAGCGTCTCGATGAACGGACCCAGCATTAGACCGCAGGTGCATGCTGCAATGCCGAGAAGCCGTGAACACATGATTTCTTCTCGCAGGTCACCCCACCAGTCTTCACTTGGGTAGGCACACTTCTTGGCCATGCAGGTTCTCCGTCGGGGGTATCGGCGGACTCATCATAGCTATGGGACGAAGGCTCTTGCCAGATTGGAAGCTCGGTAACCAACACTGTTGTCAACGATACAGTGTCCCGAGGCCGGAGCTCAATCTTCTTGATGCGACGAGCTTAACAGGGTACTTGTCCTCAACTACAAAGCCGCAAGTGTATGAAGATCTGGCGTGCGCCACGCGAATTGACAGCGTGGCCAAGCACATCCCTAGGAGGTAAGACGGCCGTTGTGGCGTTCTTGGCTCCGGTACTCAGACCAGCTAAGGGAAATTTGCAATAATGTGGCGTGTTGAGTGCCGATGCCTAGGATAGGGGCGTCTATTTAGCAATATTTCCCAATGAGGCTTAAATAGCATGCTTGAAGCCTTGTAGAGCAAACCCCTACACAAGGTCACCTGCGTGTAGTTGAACACATCATCAACTGGGTGTGTTACACATATCGGCCAGGAGTTCCTGGGTAGGCAGGAGACCCCGCACTTCGAAATCTAATCAATCAGATTAGATGATCTTATCAAGTAATTAAGTGATAGATCTTAGAACTTGTAGTTTTCGTGTTCTCTCTCCTCTTGGTTTTTCATATATACAGGATGAGTTCCAGGTTTTCCTTTTTCTCCGCAAAGCGTGATATGTTACATCATCGACAGATCGTCTTGAAGAGCTGCACTTCTGCTACACTGCACGGTCATAGACTTCCGGATATGCTGGGTTTGTGCAGCACATGAGGGCTCAAGGGAAGGGTTACAGTGCTTCGGCCTTTGGCTCGCATAAATTCAGGCCCGGCGTAAGATCCCTGCTTTCACAGTAGTCAAGTCAAAAAAACGACAACGGAGGACACATTCCTTTGGAAGATGACGATCACAGGCTAGCATCCAATAGACTGAGACACCCCAGCTATATCACGCGAATGGAGGGCTATAGGCTGCCAGCGATCCCGCCTTCATGAATCGTCTTTGCGTCTTGAGCAGGTGGCAATCGGACACGCTTGAAATACGCTTACTGCGCATACTACAAATTAGATTGGACATGATGGATGTAGGTCATCCTTGCAATGCACCTTGCAGTATGCGAGAGGGCCCACCCATTTTTTTGATCCACTACAGAACAATAATACGCATACCTCATCTTCGAGGTCATCCTTGCATGCATAGTGCTCATCGTATGTTCTTTGAAGGAGCGCGAATTGGTGGGCGGTGCCTTTCGTCCACGAGGGAAGCCCGTGTGATGACGAGGGGTAAGCTATTGGCAACATGAAGACGGTTGACATCACGTCTCACTCCTGGGAGTCTATAATCAATGGCTTTGGCTTATTGAGATTTGAGTTGCATAAATAGAATTTGATTCAATTACTTTTAGGGTTTTGCAATATGGGCAGGTATCGATGCAGAAGCATGATGTTATTTAATTGTGCTCAATGGCACTGCACTTGAAATGGAACTTTTTGGTTGAAGCGTCTAGAGACTCTTTCATGCGACCGACTATAGCTTCGACTCAAATCCAAAACTGGTACCCGCCACACGTGGTTGCCCTTGGTTGAAAGGACAAAGTTGGAAGAAACGCTCTCTCGAGCATTTGACAAGATTAGACCGCTTGTGCGGCAGGTCCATCCACTTGTCCTGGTGCAGTCCATATATCATCTCATACTTCAAAACCTTTTCATTTGACAGTCGTGGTTCTCCTACAACGTTTTCCGTGCGATGGTCGTCAAGGAATTCGTAGTGCATGACACCGGGCCACCATGCCATGACTCGGTGGATGCCCCGGAAAGCATCTTCGCCAACTAGGGAGTGTCGACCTCGATCAAAGTCCAGACACGCGTAGTACTGGCCCATTTTATCCTCTTTTGCCCAATAAAGCTCAAAGTAGGCAAAAGGGACATTATTGAAGAAGCCAATGGCAGAAAACTGGTGAGGATCTTCATGGATAGCGCGAAGGTAAGCACGGTGCTGTTCTAAAGTGCCAGTCTCCATCCATCCTGCTGCCACTCGAGGGTCGTTTTGCCACTTGTTGAAGAGGCTCAGGTGTTCCGCATTCAAATAGTCGACTACCACAAGAGAAAAGTGCTCATCAAGCGTAGGAATGTAGCGGCTGTATATGAGACTGCCTGCTGCAGGCTTGGGAGTCCGTCGTGGATGACGCAATAAAGTCCAATCCGAAGTTGGTGTCATGACGTATTCCAAGTGAGGAACTACATGTGCAGAATTCCACGTTGGTAGCCATATAGGCTGCGTGCCCAATGGCGAGGCACAGCCTTGCCAGAAAGCGCTGCGGAGAACGAGAACCTCAATCTCTTTGCGAGGAACCACCTCAATCACGTCTGTTGGCCTTGGTAGCTCTGTGGCAACCATTGACGAACACAGTGTATCAGCTAGGTTCTGCGCACCAACCCCTTCAAGACGAAGCCGGAACTGTTCTACTCCATGCTCGTAGGCGAAAAGAGTGTAGAAGAACATCCACGCCTGGGCCAGAGTAGGTTGTTCCTGGCTTTTCCAGGCCAATTCCCAGACTGGACTTCGCCTTGCTCGAGCCCAAGCGCGATTATCAGAATCAGGAATGTTGTCCGACTCTTCTGGAGCAAGAATGCTGAAGACTAGGTCCTCCCTATGTAATGGCTGAGGAAATGGCTTGCCATCGTGAGGTGTATTGACTTCGCGTAGGGAATATGACTGCCTGCCATCTGAAGCCTTTGATGCCGGCTCAAGATAATATGTGGTAAGAAAGGGGTGAGGCAGTCGAATTTTGATCTTCGACTGCTGCTCGAAAGGATTAGGACTCATTTTGGAATAACTTTCTTGTGTCACGTATACTGGCGCAAGAGTATATCTAAAATGTAGTCTTTATCGTCAGATTTTATTATTTACTTACACGGGGATGCACCGAGGTTGCACCCGACCTCGGATTATCCTCGTCCCTCCTGCAAGCCGTTTTCCAAAAGAACGCCTCCCCGGGCCACCCCCACACCTGAACCTAAACCCCTGCAAAACATCCAGGACCATGGACCAAAACTGGAAGGCTGGACTCCATCCGATACTTGGCTTAACTTGCCAATTAAACACATATCCGACTAATAGCGCTAAGAAAGTGTAGCAAAACGCCGTTTTGACATCTGAGGCTAAGATTGGTCAGGCCAGAGAAAGTCCCGGAAGCACCACGCCGAGGCGCTTGGCTTGTTATGGCTGCGATCACCGCCTGTCAGTTAATCCTCCCAAGTATACTCCAGGCCTACCAAAATAGTTGGCGTGTTGTGGATCTCGCGCAACCTCCCCAATTTTGGGTGACGATCCGGGTCATTTCTTTAGGGTCGGCGTCTTAGAGACACCCCCTTCCTAGACATTCATTCTGTGCGGCACGACTCTCGGATGCAACCATGAAAGATACTTCCCAGCTGAAGTTAGACTTCTAAGCTACATTGATCCACCACAGCTCGGGAATCCGTTACTCCTCCGCCGGGGTAATAAATGTTAACTTAGCGAGAGATCGCGACTCTTCAAACTAGGGTATTGCTACTTTTGTCAAGGCCAGTGGGGCTATAGAAATAAACAGAATATTCGAAGCCTCAATCAGGTAACGCGATCCTTGTTTTCTCAGTATTTTCACCCTTGACGAACTAACAAACATCATCTCGGCGGAGGAGTACAACCCAGAAAGGTTCATTATAGCGGTAGACTTTTCCCACATGTAGCCCATGCCAAGCTTTCCTCAACCCTCGAGAGCGGCTTCCCGAAACCGGTGGTGAACTTGAGCGAGGGCAGATCCTTTGTCATCGATTCCTTGAACGCGTCATCTGCCTCAATTCATCTAGATTTTCTGTTGTGTTGATTCTTTTTATTATGTACCTCGGCTCAAAGAGCCACATAGAAAAGAAGGGCATATCTTTTGAAATGACAGGGGTTCTCGAGACACTCCATTGGGACAACGTCTTTGCTCATACGTTTTCCAATCTATGTAGGCCTCAAAAATAGAATGGCAGATTTCCAAAAGCTTTTGTCGACTTGCTTGAAGAATCTGCAATAAGTGCTTCGATGAAGAAGCGCCTCAACTGCCAATTGCCGCAGACGCACTCTAAAGCTCTTGGTTTTTCTTGGGACGGACAGCCGAGCACAGGGCAACGCCACTCCCGAAAAGAGGCTTCATCTACCGCAGCAGCCATCTGATCAAGTACCGGCCCTAAATGCTAGAGGCAACCTATACAGAAATTGACAGATGCGCCTCTAAAGGCTTCTTTGTTTAGAGGCACCACCATCATTGATATACGCAACGACGTCAATCAAATTTCAAGTTGTTCATGATGGGTCAGTCAACATTCAAGCGGGAACCCCCAATACAGAATTATGGACTCATCTCGTTTCCGACTGAACATTTACTGCTTGTCATTTTCAATCGCCCAAAGATGCTCAATGCCATGACTAGTGCGGCGCAATATGAGCTTGACGCTCTATTTTCTTGGTACGACCATGAGCCATGGCTGCGATGCGCTATCGTCACAGGCGCCGGGCGCGCA